CAAGGGCTTACTTACTCTCCATATAATCCTTAATGTGTGGAAATCTAAACCTGCAAGGATTTATTTTAATTTCCTCCAAAAAGTTGCTCCTGGCAGAATCTGATAAAGCTGGTTTTAGTCTAATTCTTCCCGGCCCCCGGCCCTGCCCTTGGTGAGCTATCAGAGCATACCTATCTTTGGGAATTCGTTTGGTGATCACCACAGCTTGCATTCATTACCTCAAATACCTCCCAGATCGTTGGCTGGTGCACGGGAAAAGTGATCTGACAGCATTTTCTGAAGCTTTTCACGTTGTGGGGTGGAGGGGAAAGAATGTCCCCAGGTTCTTGCTGTTGTTTTGCTTTCCTGTCCCATGTCAAGCAGCTCTTCAGTGCACAAAGTTAACAAGAAATGGAACTGCTGTTTCTTCTTGAGTGTTCTTTGCTGCCTCTTTGTTTTCATCAGGATTTGTTCATTTGTGCCCAGGGCTTTGAATCGTTTTGGTGCCAGACTGGCCTTGCTCCCAGCATAAGCTCCCTGTGCAGAAGAAAAGGTCATGGTCTCTCACAGGAGACTCAGAACCTGGGCACAACCAGACAGACATTTTGTAGAAGTGTTTAAGAGCTTTGGGGGTACATATTCTGTTTTTAACCCTGCTACCAGCCCAGTGAATCAAGTAGCAGCCTTTCTATTTAGAGAAGTCTTAATGAATGAGACATACCCTCATCGTCCAGCATATCAGAAGGATGACCTTATTGCAGCCTTCCAACACCTAAATAGGCCAACAAGAAATGCTAGGGGCTTTTTCTGAGGACATGTAGTGATTGGACAAGAAGGAATGGATTTAAACTGAAGGAGAGTGGATTTAGATTAGACATTAGGCAGACGTTCTTCCCTGTGAGGGTGCTGAGGCGCTGGCACAGGGTGCCCAGAGAAGCTGTGGCTGCCCCATTCCTGGCAGTGTTCATGGCCAGGTTGGACACAGGGGCTTGGAGCATCCTGCTCTAGTGGAAGGTGTCCCTGCCTGTGGCAGGGGGTTGGAAATGGATGAGCTTTAAGGTCCCCTCCGATCCAGACCACTCTGAGATTCTATGATCAGCATAGGAAATGCAGCAAGGGTTAGTTTAAAGCAATTTGCACGTACTTGGTAGAACAGAATGATCTTCGTCATTGCTGAATTCTGAAACAGAAAACAAATTTCTTGTGGAAACACAAACATAAACTTGCTGCTGTGCTGAAGCAGAGTGATGCAGGAGATATTTAGCATCATGTTCTGACCTTTTTGGAAAGAGTTGATATGGAAATATTTTTGTCGTATTTATTTAAGCTTTTTTCTTGCCTTTATTTATACTAGGCAGTATATTTGTTTCAATGACTCAGCAGTATGCCAGTCCCCAGTCCTTGGCATATTAACAAAACTGATCATGTAATAAACATAACCCCCTTAAATCTGTGCTCTAATGCTCTTAGGAAAGTCCTTTTATTCTTGTTCTCCATGTAAAGCACCAGGTGTGACTGTGGTGAGTTTAGGAGATAATGAAGATAGTAACAAGAGGAAGGTTTAGTAGAGTCTTTAGTGTAATGGCTATAGCTGATTATTTTTTTAAATAATATTTCTCTGTTATTTTATGTGCCACAGTCAAATTGTTTCTTGTGGGTGTTTTTTCTGAAGAAACAACACAATGTGTTGGTTTTGCACCATTCTCCAGGCCTGGCCACCCTCCCAGGTTCACCAAGGGGTGCCATTTGCTGTGCCTCGGTCACAGGCAGGAAACAGTATTTCAGAGCAACATTTCCCCCCCACTTGAGTGGAGGCAGAGGCGGATTGACCATGGGCAATAATAGATCCTGGACTCTAGAAAGCTGAGTTAGTGGAAGAAGTCAGTACAGTACCTTGGCTACACCTCCAGGGCTGCATCCACAGGTGATGAAAACCAGTAGAAGTATTTCTGTTGACTGCAAAGAACCTTGAATAAGACTCCTGTTCCACAGGGTGCAGCCTGTCCATCCCCAATACTTGGAAGTATTTTCTGTGGGAGATGGGAGATAGCAAAGAAATAAAGAAAAGGAGAAGTATGAAAGGAGCAGGTTTGTTTGTGCTACTCAAATCTTGTAAAGAAGGCAGAGTCAAAGCTTACCTCACTATGGCAGTCTTATTGATAGGTATCATAAGTGATGAGGAGTCCTGATAATGAAATGCAAAGTTTCTCCAGGGTCCAAAATAAATAATGGGGCTGATGGCAGTGGCTTCCCTAAGTCACATGGCATTGCGATGAAGCCCATTATTAAATTGTTTTCTGCACGTTTTCTGCACATATGCTTAAAATCTATGTGCCAAATAAAAGCTGGAAATACCTGAGATGAATTAGAAGGCAATTATGAAGTAGTCTCTTTGCAAAGGAATTTTCGGTGTCTGATACTTGGCTACATTGGATTATTCAGTCTCTCTTTTCTGTCAGTGCAAATAAGATCATAACTCACATGTGCATGAAAGCAAATGGGTGATCTATATCTAAAAATGCACACTGCCTAACTTTGATTTATATTGAAGACAGACACAGAAATTATTAATTCCAGCATTCTGGGAATTACATGTAAGTATTAACAAAATTAGGCAAATTAGGCTTCAGCCTCTGAGTGCACCAAGGTATCCATGCAGCCTTCTTCTTTGATCCTGAGATAAATGTTAGAATCAGGCACCATACTAAAGTTAAGCAATTTGTAGATGGGGGATAATGACTTTGGAAATGACTAGTACTGTATTATTTGTGAGATCGAATATTTATCAACCAACTTCAGGTCCCCAGAAATACGCTTGCATTGGTGCACAGTGTGGTTATTCTTCCTTTAGAATAAGTATTATTATAAGGATTGAGAGTAAGTATATTATTCTTTTTGAATAAATAGAGGATCCAGTACTTTTTTAAAATTAGAGAAAAAATGCATTAGGCTGTACCTGCCTGGGGTATGTGGGGCAAGAGAGAGTCCTGATTAAGTCTGTAAATTTACTGTTTAGCTTTGGCTGTCACAGTAAAATGCCATCAACCTGCATGGAAAGCACTTACTGAGGAGCACTTGAATTATTGCTAAAGTATCAGTGCTGCTGCTTAGTCCAAAGATAGTAAATGGATAAAAGCATTAGAAGTTTACAACTGGGTTTGGTAGGATTTGACATTTCCTTCTTACTGCTGACGTTCATTGCCTGGGGAGAGATGTAGAAGGAGTGAAAAAATGAACTTCTGATGAAATTTGAAGGCTTATAAAAATAGGATAACATTAACTCAATCTTTTTTCTGTTGATGCTAAAGAAAAAAGTGAAGTTTGTGAATCTGGGTAACTTGTGAAAGTCTTACTTTAGAACAAGGGACAGCATTTCCTCTGTTTCTCAGTGCAAGGTTGAATGTTGCTCTTTGGGTTTGGGGTTTTTTTTGCCTATCTTGAAACTGGAACTGGGCTCAGGAAAACTCAGAGGTGGCCATCTGTGCCCCAGGTTGGGCTGGCATCTCTCTAATGGTGGAGAAGCAGCATTACTGGCCCCTAAACCCTTATTGATCACAAGGGAGGCGGGCTACCTTTTGTCAATCTGTAACACCTTGTAGCAGAAAAACAGCCCTTTCAGGATGTTACTTATACAAGATTTTAAGCAGCAATGTCTGGTCTGAAGAGTTACATCCATTTCTCTCCACATTGCTCTGAACTTTTCCATTTTGGAGCAAGTTACTGCTCTCTCACTGATTCTTTGTGGGCTGAATGAGTTGGAAGTATGGCTGTAATTTAAAGTAATCACAGCTGTCAATGCATATGCCAGTTTCTGTTCTAACAGGTCTTCCAGATCTGTTACATATATAAATTGTCAGATTTTAACTTTAAACATATTCATAGGCTGGGAAGAACTTGGGCTGTAATTTATTTCTTAGGAAATATACTGATGGAGTGCCTCCAAAATGAAGGTAGAAGCCTCATCTCTGAATGTTTGCTCTGTTCCGTAAAGAAATCAGAACACTTTATGTTGAGAGGTGGTTGAAATAGCATGTTTGGGCTCAAGGATTAAACCAGGGTGCTTATGACATAGCATATAATGAAGAAATTGAAGCTGAGCCTCTAGGTGCATCATGCTGAGAAAGAGGCTTGTTCTACATGGAACTGTCATATTAAATTCTTGTCGTGATTGCAGACCCCTTTGATTCCTAAATCTTTTGGAGGAGACTAATCTGAAATCAAAGTGAAGTTGCTTGGGGTTTGCATGCCAGAAGTGGTCACATTTGAAAAAGTTCAGTGAACCTGCAGAGGGAGGTTGAAACTCGTTGCTTCACTACAAAGCTTACAGCTAACATACCTGCTGATTTGCTTTTTTGCTTTGATTCTTCAGGCTCTGCTTTCTTGCTACCTTCTGAGTTGGTTTCAAAATGCATAAATCTAAAGGATGAGCATGTCCTGATTTCAGTCTGTTTAGGTTAAAAATACCAAGTAAATCAGTCTACACTGGTAAAACAGATACGAGCATTAACACAGGGGCATGGCAAAACTGCATTTTTCTCTTCTGCCTCTTCCTTTGTGCAGTTATTCCCCTCTGTAAAGGTGTATATCACACTTTACTCTCCTGATTTACCAACATTTGACCTCCCTTTGTACCAAGGTAAATGGAGATAATTCCTTTCAAGTTCTTCTAAGTAGATACTGAGGGCTCTTGCCTTGATCCCTGTAAGATGACTCTGCTCCTTTGAAACCACTGGAGCAATGCCAGGAATCCAGACTGTTATCCCTGCTGAATGTCAGCTGCTTTCTCTATTTTGATACTGGCATTTTGGGATGATTTGACCAAGAATATCATGCAATATTAAGTGCAAATGGAAATATTTCTGCCCTTCTGTATCCCCCTTAAGCCTTGTGTAGGCTGTGGGAACCTGGGGATGTGCTTTTTGGTCCAGTTATAAGAAAATGCCCTGGGTAGCCATGGCCCATATATAACCATATAGATGGCCCTGCATTAAAGCTGATCTGTTGTTACTTTATATTTACAGTGTTCTGTCTCCTGTGGAAGGGGCCAAAAGCACCGCAGTGTGTACTGTTTGTCAAAGGAAGGGAGACATATAGAAGAAGACTATTGCAAGCACCTTGCTAAGCCCAGCATGCAAAAGAAATGCAGAGGGGGCAGATGTCCGAAGTGGAAAGCAGGAGATTGGGGACAGGTGAGACACATTGTATACCCTTGTGCACCCTTGGATATTCTTCCTCCGTCAAATTGGTTGGAAGCTGCTTTTCCCATCATTTCTGTCCTCTGGAGTTTTTTAAGGGTGAAGAGTTTTGGGTGAGATCCTTAGGTGATATAAAACAGTGTAGCTTCAAGCACAGCAGTGATTTGTACCAGCTGAAAACATGGCAACTTGCTTTTAGTGTCTATCCGAAAGTCGATTCCTTGTTTATTTTGTTTCTGCTAGTAGAGGCATTAGTAGATAATATTAAAGAGAATCTACTACTTATTTGTGGTTTTAATATCATTATTATTTAAACTGTCACATCCCAAGCAAAACCTTCCTTAGTTCTGAGAAATCTGAAACTAATTTTATTATCAGCTTCCTGGGAAAGCTTAACGTAGAATCAGAGCTCTTCATTAAAAATGCTTTTCTCTGCCTTTTGTTTCTTAACAAGCTCATTGCTTGATTTTGCTTCGTTAAAAAGTCAGACACTGATGCATAGAGCAGAGGCTGCTGGGAATGTGAAAGTGCTTGGAGTTATTAAGCATTTTGTTTGCTGAAAGCATACCTCGAATCCTTGTTTTCCTGAAAAATAATGTCTTTGTCATCACCTTGAATCTGCTGCATCACATTTTTCTCTCTGAAACTCCCTTCTCCCCTCTACCTCATTAGTGTGCTAATCAGCAGAGGTATTGAAAATCCTAGACTAACTGAACTGTTAACTTGTGAAACACCATGTTCTCTTGAGGTCTGTCTTCCAAATTAAGGTACAAAACACCCGTTCTCACTGCATTCAAGTTCCCTGAAAGATAAACCATTCACATTGCTACAGGCACCCATGCAAATGTTAGGACTTCTGTTTAATGTCGACTATTAAAAAGGACAATAAAGCCACTGATGTTCTATAATTGTTTTCAGACTTGTACTTTTTCTTAATGCTTACCTTTGAATTCATAGGATAGGAGTATTTGTCATGATGTGTGTCAAGGGCTAAGTGCAGAGGTTCAGTTACTGAGGTCTGTCTGGGTCCTTTGCCTCAGGTATGGCTGGGAGCACTCAGGTAGCTGTGCATAGCCCTGTGAAATGCTCCCATATTGGAAATCAAGTCAATATTATTACCTTTATTACCTGCAGGACTGAAACCTCAATTTTATACAGGAAGCTAGATTGAAAAGGAGCCTGAAGCCATTAGATAGTCTCATCATATCCCATTTGCTCCTTATTTAAAGTATTTTTTTTACACCTAATAACTGTAAACATAATAATGTAATGGCCTGTTGATTGCATTGAAGCAAACTAGTATTAGTTGATACAAGCATGTGTTTTAAAATTCCCAACATTCTACTGCATGATCAGAGTTCATTTCATGCAAGTGGAGAAAGAAACCCAAGGTACTAGGAGGATCAGGTGATTTATGGCCTGAGGTAGTCTCTTGTGACTAGGCAATTAAGGAATATTTGTATGCTAGTGATAAGAATAGGCAGTGCATTTCCAGGGGTGGCTCCTCAGCCCAGGTCCCTGATGCTGGCTGTGCTCAGCCAGCTGGCATCTTGCTTGGGGAAAAATAAAGGCTTAGAAACACTCATTCTGCACTATCAAGCTGGGCTTTTGGAAGCTCTGAAGGTGGCTTCCTTGCATCCTGATCCTCACTCGTGCTGGCAGAGCTTCTTTGCCTGTGACAGATGAAGAGCTGTGGCTGTCACACATTCGGGGCCATGGCCATGGCCATGTGAGAGCACAGGGCTTGCATGGCTTTGCAGAAGACTAAATCCACCTTGGCCTTAGAGCCAAGGTGAATTTAGGTGCAGAACTTCTCACTGAGGCTATAGCACAGGCAGGCGTTCAGCACTCTGAATACCCAATAGATTGATCAGGGTCGGAACGGGCACCGTAACTCTGTGTCAACTTTCCCATCACCAGTGCCACTTTTGAAAAGAGGAGCCGTGATCAGTTTGCTCTTCGATCCGATCAAGAAAAAGCTTTCTGAAGGTTGGATTACCTCAGAAAGATAACCCCAAAGCTGAGCTGCTGTGAGCTGGCTGCCTTCCATCCTGGGTAAACCGGCGAAAGTCTGTGTGAGAAATAAGGCAGGGTTTTCCCACAAGAGTGCATCTTTTTTGTCACCACATGTGCACAGGACCTCATGTACCTTTAAGGTTTTTGGGGGGGTTTATTCTTTTTCATTTCGTAAAACGAATGTTTCAAAAATCAGGATTAAAAAATACAGAAACGGTTAAATTGAATCCCTGCTGGCAGCTGTGCTTCGCTTCCAGGTTTTTTTCTCTCTGAATGTTTTGTATTCAGAGGCTGGATAATTCTTTTCTATGTTGTTATGAATCCACTTTCCTGCAGCAAAGCATTTTTAATATATCTGTAATATCAGAAGGCAAGCAAAAAAGGCTTTTTCTCCAAGTTTTAAATGTGCTTGTATCTGCACTGAAATGTCAGATTTAATACGTTTGCATCTCCTAAGTGGTATCAATTATGGCCATTTACCTTTCACTTAGGAAAAATGCCAACATTTATTCTGCTGTGTGGTATTTACATATTGTAGCTACAGGCTGAAATCCAGGCTGGTCTGAAAACCCAGGTGGAGCATCAGGTAGAACTTCCCTATAGCTGTGTTGGCACTTGGCAGTTTGGTGATTGACTTTCTCAGTGGGGAAAGGAGCACTCCTGGGAAAACATATGGACATTGTTGAAAGGACTAACAGGCTGCCTGACTCATGGCATCCCGTAGGAGAATATATATAGGTACAGCAAAAGCTGTCTGCCCCAGACTGAGTGTCTTCTGGCAGTGTCAACCAGCTGTATTTCCCCAGGGTAGACACAGGTTGGCTGTTCTGAATTAAAACAGACAGGATGAAAATTATGTTAGAAACCTTCTTTTCTTACCTCTGTAATAGAGTGGAATGGTGTGGTTTTGAAGCCAGCCATAAATGCAGTGAAAGAGTTCACCCCCCCCACTGCAAATCCTCGCATGCATTCGATCAGGGTGCAGCATTTATTCTCATGGGCTTACACAGAGGCCAAATTTCACCTAGGCACACAGTGAAATGAGTCTATGGCTTTACCTGGTGCCGTTCTTTGCCCAGCACAGATAGGGACCAACCTCTGTCTCCCCAGACTCACTCTGCCTGGGTGTCACACACAGCACAGCACACCCCCTGTGAAAGACCCACTGCATCGCTAGCGCTCCTTTATCATAACATACCCAGGCATGTGCCTTTTAGGTGACTGATAAATGCAAACCAAAAGGCATTTTGGAGCATGGTATGCATCCTGGTGTACATGTTTATCCAAGTTTGTGGCCCATTATTCAGTTTAATTGTTCCCTGTGGAATGCATAGGACAAACACATTGCTGTTAATCACAGGGCAGAGGCGCAGCATATGGGAAGCATTTGCATCACCAGTGACAGAAATCTCACTGCTACTTTCAAAAGTTACACAAAAAAAAAGTCCCTTCCATCATCTAACAAATATCTGGAGGCAGGCAGATATTCACAGTCAGCTTTTCTTTGGTCTTCTTGGCTTTATGGGGTATTTGGATAGTAAAGCGGAGAATTACAGAGGAATACGCTGCAGAACAGAGAATTGCTTCCCCTTTAAGCGCTGCTTAATTCCCTGCCTTAAGAAGTCTCACTTCTATGGGTATTGCAATAACGGGCTGTAAACTTGTTTTCTTAGTTCCTGATGTATTAATAAGATTACTTATATTAATGGTTAATTCAGCAGATGGCTAACTGTAATAGCTGTGTTGTAAATACATACCTTTGATTTTTACATGCTTTCTTTATAAATGCAAATTCTCTTTATTCCAAATCTATACAGTATACTTTAAGATCTAGCCAGGAAAAATCCATACCAGAGGGACATTAGGTACTACTAAACACATTACAGTGTGCAGTCACAACACTAAGAAATGTTGCATGAAACTAAAAACAAGCCGTTTAAAGCACTTTAGTGGAGATGATAATTTGAAGATGTCTGAGAAACAGAGGAATTCGGGCTCTTTTTGCTGTGCCTAGAAGTGGGGAGGAATGTGCCCACAGTGTAATGAAGGAAATGTGAAATGCAATTCATTAAAAAAAGACAATTATTTTCACAAACAGGCTTGTGTGCATGGGCATGTTTAGATGCTCTCTGAAAGAAACCCCAGCTTGTATCATACCTTTACCTTTCTACTGCTGCACACTTTCTTCTTGTCGTGGTTTAACCCACTTCTATATAATCCAAGTTTGCTTTTCATTAAAGTCCACTCCAGTTGTGCCATTTGGTACATTTTGAGCTATTACCTTCTTGAGCTGAGTGCTTGTGAAGTAATAGGCAGAGCCCGTCTCTGAAATGCTGTGGTTTAAGTTTAGCAGAAGTTTTTGCAACAGAAATCCTGGCCGGGAAATCCTGACCCCACTGAAGCCCACTGCAAAAATTCCTGCTTGCTTGAGCGGAGCAGGGATTTCTGCCTGCAGAAAAGCCTCCCCTGGAAGTTTAAATGCTGGCTTTAGCGCGTTGCTATCACAGCCGCCGAGTTCAAAACAGAGGGCGAACCCATAGAACTTACCGTGAAGCTGCGACCACCACTCACCTTTTGTCCCTTCCTGCAGTGCTCGGTGTCCTGCGGCCGGGGCGTCCAGCACCGCGCCGTGCACTGTCACAGCGGCACCCCGAAGGCAGCCGAGGAGGCAGAGTGTGACCCGTCCAGCCGTCCCCCTCCGCAGCAGGACTGCCACCTCCCCGAGTGCCCCACGCACCGCTGGGCAGCCGGCGAATGGCAAGCGGTAAGCGGGGTCCCCCCCTTCCCTTCCCTTCCCTTCGCTGGGGTCACGTCACTTGTGCTCTCATGTGTGTGGTGCAGGATGATGCTGGAGATGGGGAGTTGCTGAGGCTGGAGATCAGTGCTGGAGGGACGGGGTTCTGGGGTTGCAACCTGGGCTTTCCAAAAGATAAAGCAGAGGAAACACTCACATGTGCTGGGTGGAAGGGGGAGCTGAGAAGTACCTCGATAGGGTTAATATATGGCTTTGTGCTGCCCTGTCTTTGGCTGGGATCTATGCAAATGGTGAGCAGGTTTGGGGTAGGGCAGATTTGGGTCTGTTCCTGGAGGCTGAGCCCTGCTGTGCTGCTCCAGCAGTCAGCCCTGTGCTTCTGGGTTTGAAGGACTGGTAATTCCCACTCTTCTGCCCCCTTCCCCCAGCTCCTTCTGCCGTCTCTTTCCTTTCACTGAGCTCCTGGTCCATGCTTTTTGTCAAGCTATAAGCAGAGCTGAGATGCAGTGTCCCACAGGAGATGGTGCCCACTGTGGCAGGCTTTGAGGTATACAACAGGTTAGGCAGAAAGAGCTCAAACAAGGCACCAAAATGCTGAATTTTGTTCTGGCTTAATTCAGTTTTTAGTTATCCCTGCCTCAGTCCTCATCCATCCCTGTCGTATTGTCCCAGGCTCTTCCCAGGGACTGCCAGCCTTGGAAATGGGAAAGGTGATGGAGCTGCCAGCTCTGGTGAGCTGACTCCTGTGTCACACACCTGCAAAGGGACCACCACTCCTATGGAGAGGATGTCCTTGTCACATGGGGAGGAGGGGACTGCACATCATGGGCCCTCCATGGGGATGCAGGGGGTGGAGGGGTCCAGCATTCACTGACAGTCAGGCTGCTTTTATATGGCTCCTGCATGGCCCAGGGAGGTCTTGAAGTGGAACAAAATTGGCTGAGGTTCCTTTGCCTGCTGAGACACTGTAAAGAGGCCATGGTGTAAATGCAAAACAGGGCCTCATGCTCCGGTAACAGAAGATAGAGAAGTGTTGCTGGATTCCTACTCAAAGCCTCGGTGTTCACAGGCACTTGAGAGCCTGCTCTTGTTATGTCACTAAGGAAAAAAAGAAAGAAAAAAAGGGAGAAGATAGGAAAAGCAAATTTACTGGTAAGAGAAAAAGCATCTCACATGTACAGAGGCTGTGCAGCTTCTCTGCTGCTGCAAGGAAAGATTCAAGGTGAGGTCAGCACCTGTTTTTCTCTCATCCTTCCTCTTTCATGAGCTATTTCTTGGCTCCTCACTGTGCTGAGCACCCCAGACTGCAAGCACTTGGGTGTGTGACATTGTCTGATATCCCCTACTATACAAGGCACGTTGGCCTGGTAGGAATGGTGTAAATAAGTTTAGCTTGCTACATGGTCTGGTGTGAGGTGTCCTTGTTCATGGCAGGGGGTTGGAACTGGATGATCTTAAGGTCCTTTCCAACCCTAACTATTCTATGATTCTATGATTCAGAGCTAAGCTGATGGCTCAGTGGTACCCAACGGAAACATCCTAGCCTGGAAAAGAAATGTAGGAACAGCCCAGGGGGCTCAAGCAAATTCCTTGCAATGAACTTCTGCTTTTACAGAGCCCGTTAAATTTCCTCAGCTAATAAATTTACAGGCGGCAAAGTAGGTCAGCAAACAGCATGCAGTTGCAATCCTTATCCAATGGTGTAATTAGCTCTGAAAAGCCGCAGCTCCTACCCCATCATTTTGCTTCTTCCCTTTACTTTTACAACTTCTCAAACCAGTGGCAAGAGGCCTCTGCCTGCCTCTACCCTCCCAAGCCCTTGGTGGGAGGTGGATGCTGATGTTTTCCTCAGTTTCCCAACACTGGGAAAGAATTTACTGTGTTACAGAGGTTTGGGTTTTTTTTTCCCTGGGGAGCTTTGCTAGGGGAAAGCTGGGCTGAAAGTTTCCTCACCCATAAATAACCATTAATAGAGACATGCAGGAGATCCCAAATGTGAGCTCTGCCCTTTGGCTGACTCCAAAGCAGTTCTGAGCACTTATTTTGTTCTGATGTACCTGGTGAAAGAAAGTAATAGCAGCTTCTCCCTAGCCATAAGTAGGGGCTACACATTATTCATAGTGAGGAGGCAGAGACTGCGTTAGTATCTCTGAGCAGGGAACAGCAATGAACCCTAATTGATATGAAAGGCAGGATGTAAAATAACATCCTAGCGCTGTCTTATTCTTGATTTCTTATCTTTAAAGGGAATCTGTAAAGATGGGGGTTTGTATTGTTCCTTTTTGTTGTTATTTTTAGGAAAAAAGTTGGTCTTGCCAATGAAAGGAATAGAGAACTTACTGGAAACCATTTATTGGTCTGTTGGTGTATCGCCATTAATTAGCTGTCCTCAATACCCCCACCAGGGAGAAGAAACTCAATAGAAAGGTCCTTGTTAATGTCGAAGTAAAACTCAGACCATGGTCACAAAGAAAATGGGAATATTGGGGAGAGAAAAGGTTTTTTTAATATGAACCTCTCTGAAAGCTGCAATGAAGTGCTTGAATCTTTGACATTTGCCATTTGGGGGAAAATCATTGTCTGACTGGGATTGCAGAGTTACCCAAGGCATGTTTGGAGTGTTCGTGGCTTGGGGTCTCATTTCATCTCTGTGTCAGATTTTGATTTAAAATAAGATGCCAAAGAATGCTTTTGCAAAGCTATGCCTTTGGGGTTTTTAATTACTATTATTACTCTTCCAAAACAGTTGCAGAAGTGTTTGAAATTGTTCTTAATTTGAACTGCCAGGAAAACAATTCAGAATATGGGAAATGAGGCAAAAGAGACGAATATTGTCAGATGCCTGAGCTGTTTTTCAGCCCTTGCCATCAATAGCTTTTATACCCTGGCTCCTCTGTTTTGTGGGAGATTTAGATCAGTCATGAACATGAGATTTCATACAAAATCTGTCACCGTATTAAAAGGAAAAATAGCCTTTTCATGCTATCTGAACTGTCCACTTCCTACATGAATAATGTTTTATAACCTTGGGGTAGCTGATTGGAAACTCTGCAGTGTTTCTCTTAGATTTATTTTATGATGGCCTCGCTGTCTTTGAGCCATATTTAATATCTCAATGGGATTAATTTAATTGCCAGTTATACCTAAAAATACAAATAATCAAACTTTAATTTACTGATGATGGTAAAATGCACAGAGGCTGGCTCAAGTTTATTTGGTTATGCAACCATTATTTTCAGAGAAACCCAAAGCAGGCTGGTATGTGCTTGAAGTTGTCAATCTCTCATCAGCAGCTAATGGTTTTAAACAAGGAAGGGCTTTTGATATGATAACTCTTCAAAACCAGTGTCAAAAGATGCATTGATGGCATAGAGGCTGTTCATCCTTTTAAAATTAAGCCTGGTCCAATGTACTTTGCAAATTTAGGCTTAATTATACATTAAGGGCAGGAGACAAAATCAGCCTTGTGTCTTCCTAACCTTTGCAAGGTGTCTCCTTTGAATGTGAGCAGCAGAGGGCTGAAACATTTCACTCTGTGCTAATGACCATGTGCTGTGCTGGTGTAACCCAAAGCAGAGGCAAGGCAGGCTCTGAGCATCCCATGGCACTGCTCTCACTGCACTGGAGAGTCCCTTTGTTGAGAAGGAACAGGAAGGTTTGGGGTTCATGCTGCCCCTGAAAGGGAAGCTGCATGGTGATGGAACATAATGATTCCTTATTCACATGCATAAACCCCTTCCAGATTTTACTTATATAACAGGGAGATATCAGAGAAGGGCAAATATAGCACAGCTTGTTTGCTGTCTGGGGAAATCAAACTCCTCCAATACCCACAGGATCACTGTGTTTCGGCACAGACCTGGGAGAAGCTTCCACTCCAAGGACTTTTATAGCAAGAGAGTAAATAAGGTTGAAAGCACACGAAGCCCTTGGGGTCTTCTGGCAGACTGCGGATTTTGCAGTGTTGACTGTTGCCTGAGAGCTCCTAAGTTATTCCTTCAGAATAGATGCTGCTTTGTGGGGCTGCCTCTCCTTCACCATTGCCCTCCGCTTTGCTCAGTTACCAAATGTTTACAACCAAGGTTGCTGTGACATTCCTGGTTTGCTGCTCCTGCTACGGATTGATCTGAGTTTTCAAAGTCTTGGTTCTGACAGCTAATTATGGAAAGTGAAAGCCTGACAGTGCCTGTGCTTTGCAATTAGCTGAAACCACTAATATCTTGCTAATCATGGGCCAGTCAGGAAAGCAGGAGTCACTTTGGGGAGTCTGGAAATGATGTTTGGAGGGTGAGACTCTAACTAAATTAAACTGGGACAGTCCTAGGTGACTTTAAGTGGTGTTTCTGTACAAATAGGGATGGTCTGATTGAAAGTTTTATCCTTTTCCTTAGGGGAAGACATTTCCTGCATGTTACATAAAATGATTATTTTCATGCATGTTTCTCCTTGTTAATCCAGTTAGTTGAAAGTGTTAGAAGTCCATTTCAGGATATAACTTTAAGAAAATAGGGCTTTATCCAGACAGCTGCTTGTACACTGCTGTAGTTTGTTTTATGTGTGTTTTCTGTAAGATGCTCTCCAAGCAGAGACCCACTCCCAGGATCACAGCATTTTCCAAGATGAGCAGAGGAAGAACAAAGTCCTTAAAGTCTCCAGATGCCCCCAGGGAGGAGTTGTGCCCAGCTAGAATGGGTTGCTCTTAATATTGCTCAGGGCAGTGTTGAAAAGAGAATAAACCCATAGGGCTGCCTCTGCTGCAGCAGCTGCAGAGATGTGCTCCATGCCATGGCAGGGCAGAGTGCTGCTGCTCACCCGCCGTAAGGGACAGGGGAAGGGAACCCCGCACACCAGCCACAGCCAAGGGCATATGTTGGAAGGGGGATGGCTGGGTTGTCATTCTCCAAACAGCTGTATTTACTAAGGCTGAAATAGAATCACAGAATGGTTTCTGTTGGAAGGGACCTTAAAGCTCATCCATTTCCAGCCCCCTGCCACAGGCAGGGACACCTTCCACTAGAGCAGCTTGCTCCAAGCCCTGTCCAGCCTGGCCTTGGACACTGCCAGAGATGGGGCAACCACAGTTTCTCTGGGCACCCTGTGCCAGGGTCTCAGCACCCTCACAGGGAAGAACTGTCTAATGTCTAATATCTTCCTAATATTCATGTATCCCCTCTTTCAGTTTAAAGCTGTTTCTCCTTGTCCTATCAAAAGCTGAGGATTGGCCCCTTTCCCCCTTGCTGCATCTCCTGGCCTGACATGCCCATCCCTGCATCTCTTGGTCCCATCACTGGACTCCACATCTGCCCCATCCCAATATTGCTACCTCAGTTTCTCTTCTCTCCCTACATTTGGAATTTGCTGCAGAGGATGGGAGCAGTTTGTCACTGGATGCTCCCTCAACGCCCAGCATCAAATTTGGCCTTGGGTGATACCAATGCCAACACAGGGCAGAAAGCCATCTACTTACTCAGGCTGCCAGGAGGGCTTGCTCTGGATGTGGGTTGATTTGCTAAAGTCCCTGATGTGTTGCATGAGCTGTTGTTTGTTGCAAACAGTGCATGAAGACATGCGGGGAAGCATCCCGGTACCGCAAGGTGTTCTGTGTGGATGAGAACAAGCAACCGCAGAACAGTGGCTACTGCGATGCCAGCAAACGCCCTCCCGAGATGGAGAGCTGCGGGCTGCCACCCTGCGAGTACGTCTGGATCACCGGAGAGTGGTCGGAGGTGAGTCCCCATCCCTGTCCCTCCATAGGGGATGTGCTGCTCCGCACCAGGCCCCGCTGTCCTCCTCTTGCCACCGGCCTCGGTGAGATATTGCAGCCCAAATGAACAGTGGCAGGGCAGCGCTGCGTGGTGTAATTGTTGTTTTGGGGCGTTGTTTCAGTGTGCAGTTTCCCTGCTGGAGAGATAAGAGCAGGGCTGTGGGAGAAGACCAGGATATTAAAGACTATAAATGCCAGCATGCTCAGCATCCTAACTAATACCTGGAGCCAATTTTCTTCCAAAGCACGTTGCCTCCAACAGGCACCCTCTGTGGGTTTGTGCTATTTCATTTCATTTATTTGGTTTTATTCCCACCCCCTCCCAGTGAGCTCCGTGAGCAAGGGTCTGGGTGAGCATCCAGGGGTAAAGGTGAGCCTGGATGTGACTGAAGGGACATCCTTCCCTGGTGTCTCTGGCATGAGCAAAGGCAGCAGGTTCACTCTCACTGCTGGGTGAGGGCTCAGCAAGGAAAGCAGATGGGTTTTCTTTGTGGCAGGCGCTGCATGCAGGAGGACCTGGGCTAATCTCAGCCTGTTTCCTTATGCTGCGAGTGAAGGATTACTTTCCACTTGGAGGAGCAGCAGAGAGGAATGACAAGGCAGCTGCTGACACAGCACTGATTAGAAAGAAAGAACAAGGAAAGGGAGAAAAAGAAAACAGGCTGGGTCTGAGGGGGAGGAGAGACAAACCACCCAAGATAGCGCAGGAGGGAGAAACGCAGAGATGAGAATTTGTTGGAGAAGCCTGGTCTCCTGGGTGGTTTTCTAATAGAAATATCAAGGTGCTAATATCAAGCCCTGGCTGCCCCTTGCCCAGACACCCACCACTCCCTCCCGCCTCCTGTGACCCCCCTTCAGGCCCATGAAGACACAAAGGTGGGCAAAGCTTCACAGAGCCAGAGCTCAGCTCTCCCCATCTCCCACTCAGCCTGTTGGTGAAGAGGATAGGAGCACTGTCTGCCCTCTAATTACGAGGAAAATCTGCCCTTTTTGTCTAGTTACTGCCAAGTACCTGCTATTCAGGGTCAATCTTGACCATTTTCTTTCTCTGTGCATCCCATGGCAAAACCCAAACCAAAACAAAAAAAGGGAAGGAAAAAAAGAGAAAACCTAAGTAACAGGGGCGCTTCTGAGTTCTCAAGGATCTTGTGCACCTTTCTTTGCCCTGAGGGAGAGATTCCATGTGCCCAGGAGCCAACCTGGAGCAGGGAGTCCTGGAGAAGCTGTAGGGGTGACACAGGGAGGAATAGTGTGCTCAGTGTCAGGCACTGGTCCACTTGTAGCCACTCACAGTATTCATGGCTGGCTTAAACAGTTACTAATGATCGCTCAAGCTGTCAAGCCTGCTTTTCCTTGCCATTTTGGGCAACCTTCCTAAAGCATGCAGTGCTAACAGGCACTTCCTCTGCTCACAGTGCTCCGTTACATGTGGGAAGGGATACAAGCAGCGCCTCGTGTCCTGCAGTGAGATTTACACCGGAAAGGACCACTATGAGTACGGGTACCAGAACACAGTCAACTGTCCTGGCACACAGCCACCCAACATCCAGCCCTGCTACCTTGGGGAGTGCCCTGTCTCAGCATCCTGGCGTGTGGGCAACTGGGGAAGCGTGAGTTTGGCAAACTTCTTTTTATAACTGAAATCATTGGAACAAACTATTTTTTCCTTACACCAGGAGACACGGTCTGAAAGTTTGGTGGGGAAATGCTTAAATGCTGCATAAAAGAATGCAATGAATACCCTCATGCAGCAACAGCCCTGGTGTGTGTAGGGCCCATGCTCCAGACTGAACCCCATCGTATGGGGAAGTCCCAGCAGCTACAAGTAGAATCATGATTTCAAGTTTGGATGTAGCCAAAATTGGTGGCAGTGTTGATAGTCATGATGAATGCTTAGTCAGAAAGTGGGGTCTTTGCCAGAAAAGGAGTGCTTTGAAAGTGTGGCGCTAGAAGGATTGATGGATAGCTGGCAACTAGGATTTATCTTGTCCATGTGTATGAGCAAGACTTGGGAACCACCTATAGGCCGAAATGCTGGTAATTTGAGCCTTAAAAGGATTTTACTTTCTTCCCTCTCCACATGACCTCCTCCTTATAAATGCTGGAACAGGGCAGGGGAAAGAACTTAGCCTTTCTGCTAAAGTTATTTGTGTTGAGCCTCTTTTGGGGGCCTGAACTACAAGATCAGGTTTTAGTTAAGGTGATAACATTTCACTTCTTGCGCTCCTGAAATCCTTTGAAATGTGGTGTTCCTCCCATAAATCTGATTTATTAACCCAGCTCAGGCATTTGTAGGAATTTGTCAAACCTTTACAAGGCAACAAGGGTCAAATCAAGCAAAACGTAGTGGAAATTGTCAAAGTAAATGGCAGAACCATTTGAAACCTAAGTTGCTCCTGCTCCATAGGAAGCTTCAGATCATCCCTGAAAGTCAAGGCAGAGGAGTTACAGCAAAGAGCTCAGCCTCAATTAATTGGTATTTTCCCCAGAATTTCAGTGTAAAATGTCCAACTCATTAATACAAGCTCATTACAAAGAGTATCCATTTCAGAAATCCAGACCTTTCTCCTCACTTTGGGCTGCTGAACGTCCCAGTGACTACCACGTGCCATGACCCTTCTCATCTCTGATTTTCAAAGGGATTTAATGTAAAATACCATCACCTTTGATGGACAAAGAGAGTCCTGCTCAGCTCCTTAGTTAAGTTTTATGGATCTGAACCTAATGAAGAATAAATGACAAGCTGTGAATACCATGAGCCGTTGAAGACCTCCTTTACGGTGTGCTTCTTTAGACTAATCATTTCTCAATAGACAAGCAGCATCATTTTCTTGGCAGCCCAACCTGGTATCTGTAGAAAGAGCTGATTTTCAGTTCTCCAGTACTTGAAAAAATAAGCTGTGGAGGTGGAGCAAGATGCTCCAAACTCCCATAGCCTGTGCTTAGCAGCAGCCAACTCAGACAAGCTGCTGCTCCGTAGCTCCAGTAACTTGTGCAGTTTCAGCATAAAGATTGCCCTTGATTTGAACTGTTTGAGGATGACAGATTTTTGCTGCTTGCACAGGTTTTTCCAGAGGGTGAGGGGAAAGAGGGTTTGGAGGCTGTGGGTTTTTTGGTGCAATATGGATAGAAAGTACCAACCCACATTGTGTTTGTTCTGAGGGCCCTGTCAGTGACCCAAGCAATGTCTCCCAGCCACCAGGAGAGGATTTCTGCCATTCAGGCCTTCTGGTGAACATTTCTCCCTTGTATGACCTTCCTAATGTAAGATGTAAGCAATTTCATGAGCACATGGTTCACATTAACCAAATGCCTCATCCAGTAAAGTGTGCAAGTGCTAAACAAAGTACAGTCATTTTCTTGAAACAATTAATGATGATAATAGTGAAGTGATTAATAATCAAGAGGACTACTCATTTGATTAAAATTAAGTCTGGGTTTGAATACTTTGCAGGATCAGGGGCTTTGCTGCTGTCTCTTGGTACAACAGCCTGTGCCTGTACTTCTGAAGCCCAGAAACCCTGGAGATAAAGCATGAATCTCTGTCTTGCAGTGCTCTGTCACCTGTGGAGTTGGAGTCATGCACCGCTCAGTGCAGTGCTTGACGAACGATGACCAGGTCAGCAGCTTGTGCCATGCAGATCTGAAACCTGAAGAGAGGAGGACATGCCACAATGTCCATGACTGTAAGTCTGCAGATTTGCCTTTCTCATGGCTTCAACAACTTTTCCACTCAAACTAGAGATACGCAGCGTTTCCAAGCACTGGGAGCCATCCAGCTAAGCACTAAGGCACTTCAGGGAAACCTCTTATAAGATAAACAAGGTGCTTTGGTGCTTTGGATGCCACACGGTGTTACAAAACGAATGTTGATGTACAGTTGCTCAGTGACTACAAGTGTTTCTGTTTTGTTTCAGGTGAATTACCAAGGAGTTGCAAGGACATTAAAAATCTCAAAGGTGTCATTGAAGATGGCGAATACTTCCTTCAAGTCAAAGGGAAGACATTAAAGGTGCATTTCAGCAACAGATTGATAGCTAATGAATTTCCCTAAGGTGCAAGAGGACCCTGTGTGTGCTTTTCACTTCTGCTCTTGGATTTTCTACCTTTGATTCGCTTGCCCATCCCTTTGCACAGGATTCATGACAAAACTCTGGCTTCTCTTTCTCAGGTGTATTGCTCTGGGATGCAGACTGACAGCCCCAAGGAGTACGTGACCCTTGTAAATGGGGATGCAGAGAATTTTTCAGAAGTGTATGGATACAGGTAGGAAATCCCTTAATCCTGAGCTTCACACTGGTTTTATTTTCCATGGCAATATTTTTCGGTCATGAGTAGAAAGGGTTTTCTTTTGATTTAGATTGCATAACCCGACTGAATGTCCGTATAACGGGAGCAGACGAGAAGACTGCCAGTGTAGGAAAGATTACACAGCAGCTGGGTTTTCCACCTTCAGCAAAGTAAGGCTGGACCTGAACACTATGCAAATAATAAGTGAGTAAAAACAGGGCCTTGCCATTAAAAACAATATGTTTATTTTACACAAATGTAGCTGTAACTAGAAGCAAGCAGTAGTACTGTAGTGAGCAACATTCCCGAGCTCTCCTGTTTTGAAACTTGGTCACTTGTTTGCTGCTTTAAGCTTAGAGACTGCAGAGTACCTCAGAGATGCTCATACTCATTCTCCGTAATACGGAAAGACATTAAAACAGTTGCTGGTACATCTGCTGTGCAGAATGACTATTTGCATGCTCCTGGCAAGCCAGGGCTTTTTAAGGACTTCATTTGGTCTCCTATTTTCAGATGGGATTCAGAAGGCTTAACCTCATTTAACACACACGTGTGTCAGGAGATCCCAGCGCAGGGGACTCCGCTGGGGTCAGAATGCTGGTCCCTTTGGGCCAGGGTGGAGGAAGCTCTTGACAGAGCCAGATGATGGGGAAATAACTTGTGTGGAGAGTGATGGAGCTGAGGCCCTGGATTTGCAGGGGCAGAGGGGAATGTAGCTGTGCAGTATAAGTGATACCCTGTCTTTCTTATCATTCATGGGAGCTGGGAGCCTGCAGCATCCCACAGGGTCACGGTTTCAGTCCCACTGACTCCAGGGATACTATCAGTTTCCATCAAATGATTTAAAAGCACAACATATTGTTGGGGGTTCATTCAGCATCTAGCAGAGATGTTTTTCAGTGAATCAAAAAATCCTTCCTTGTAAAATGACTCTTTATCTGATAAGGGTGTTTTTTTTTTATCACTTAATTTTCATGCCGTGAGACCTCCCAGTCTATGAGTCTGTAAAAAGCTACTAATAGTCTGTAAAAGCTCCTAGGTAAAGAGCTCAAAAGAGCCACCCTTGGGAAATTTGATACCAGCTCCCTTTGAATTTCAAAAGGAGCTGGGCACCTACCTCTGTCAGGCAGGAGCTATCTCACATCCCCATCTAAATGAGTCTTGATTACTTCACATCCCTCCAGAGCAGAATACCCCAATTCCCTTTGAAACCCCGACCCCTGTGCTAAGGCAGCCGGGAGAGCACTGAGATAGTTGTTTGCCTTTGTTTAAAAGGGAGATTTAGGAGGTTCCATGGCTTTCTTGAAAGTGGGTAATTTTCTGATGGAGAAATAAAACCCAAGTCATAACCTAGGCCCTAAATCACCAATGTGCTTAAACTGAACTGTGAAGTTTGAGTGTTTAAGTGTCTTGTTAAAGTCAATGCTCACATCCTGGGAGTCACATGTGGGATGAATAGAGGGATTTAATATTAAAAATCCAGCAGTCTTAAGATTAATGTGTGAAACGGGCTTTAGTGAATTTAAACGTTAGCAAAGAGCATATTTACACTTGTGTTGTCTCTTCCCCTGCATCTTTCTTTCCGTGTTACTCACCAACTATTCTCCACAGCGACTGATTTACAGTTCGCACGGACACATGATGGACGACCTGTGCCTTATGCCACTGCTGGGGACTGCTACAGTGCAGCCAAGTGCCCGCAGGTATTTCACAATAGCATTTCATAGCAACTGGTGACATTTGTTATGTTCAGGTCCTCTGTTAATTACTGCTGATCACATTAGCCCCATTTCAGTGAGTGTCACATTCTCATCTTAAGTGATTGGAAGCTTCATTTTGTCCATGAGGGAAGCACCTTCCATTTTCCATGAGGGAAAATGTCAGGTCATTATCAGGCCACTGTTGGCACTGGCTAAGGGACATTCCCCTGGGCCTCAGTCAACAGTAAAGGGTTTGGGTTAGAAGGGACCTTCAAGATCACCTAGCTCCAATGGCAGGGACAACTTCCACTAGACCAGGTTGCTCAACGCCCCATCCAACCTGGCTTTGAACATTTCCTGTGCATCAGGGCAAATCCAGCCTGTCCCAGAACCACGAGGTGCTGGCCATAAAAGTATGGAGCTGGGCACAGGCTAAGTTACCTCCTTGGAAGCTCTAGGAGGTGATGTAGGATATCTATTCCAAGCCCAGTTGCTTGGAAAAAATACGCTTTTTTTCGAAGTCTTTAGGAGATTGATTAACACTTTGCTATAGGTGGATTGCTCCCTGTCCCCAGCACAATTAGCTTTTGTGGAGCTGGAGGATGATAAAGTGATGTGTTTGGGGTTAGAACTAGATGATCTTAAAGTCCTTTCCAGCCCTAACTATTCTAGGATTCTATGTTTGGATAGTCCAGGCTATTTGGTGGACCATATTTGCAAAGAGCATTAACCAAGGAGTCGCTGCAACACACAGTAGAGGGCAAACCTCTCCATCTCCTTCCCTTGGTACTTTCAGAGCTGAAGCTTTTCTGCATAGCTCAGCAGCTTAGGGATTGACTTCCTACCTCAGGAAGGCTCATGAATGTTAATATCCATCTACCTGACCCAGACAGTTTGATCCTCACAGAAAATCAGCATTCCCAAGGCAGCAACTGCAAGGAGCAGAGCTAACAACCATCTGGTACCATGCGGCCATGCTGGGTTGTGGGTTAGCCTGGGAATGTGTCCAAATGATCCCTCCTTGGTTCCCAAAACAGGCAGGGCTGGGGTGTGCCACGGGGCTAAGGGGAAGGCCGGTGGGGCTGTGTGTTGGATGAAGGCGTAGCCCTTAGTTTTCCATAATTTTGGGAGATTTGGAGATGGGGTGGAATGAAGTGAAGGACACTTTTAAGAAATAAGCAATTGAAAGAGTTTTGATTTTACTGAAGTCCAGACGGGGGAAGCCCGGTGGAAAATAGGGAAAACACGGACAAGTGTGCCCTCTCCAGCTGAGGAGGGAGCAGTGAGAGCGGCTGCAGCGCATCCCTGGGGTACCTTTCCCATCAGCTGTCGGAGCACGTCATGCTCCGCAGTTTGCCATGGAAAAGCCAAGAATGCCCTCAGCCGGCAAACCGCGAAAAAGCAGTGAAAACCCAAGATAAAACCCCTCCTTCCTGCAGCCACCAAGAAGGAAATTCCTAACCCAAGGCATGCTGTGATTCAAACAATATGTGCTAATCACTGTCAGAGCAATGGAAGACATTTAAAACATCGCTGGCAAGATCCTGTTGGAAAAGTGGTACTATGGCAAGCCACAGGAGGCCAAAGCATGGGGGTTTGGGGCTAACCAGGCTCATCTGCTTGCTTTTTAGGGTCGCTTCAGCATAGACCTGTACGGGACAGGCCTGTCCTTAACGGGAAGAGCAAAGTGGCTCTCACAAGGGAATTATGCGGTGTCAGAAATCCAGAAATCCCCAGTGAGTTGTAATTTTACCTATGGTTATACCTGCTCATAAGGCTCTTCATTGCCATGTTATGTTTCATGGTAACATCTTCCAAGTAGACACTAACAAAAGAATAGCATCTGACATTAAATCGTTGCCTGTAATTGCACGGGGAGAGCGGGAGCTAGTGGGTTTAACTTGATGTGAGTTGTTGCAATTAATTAGTGAGCCTGCTTAACCATGAGTGCTGTGGGGTAATATCCTTAATTAGTTGTCTGAGATGTCCAGCACAGAGTGCATAACACACAGCAGGCAGGACACGTGGTCAGGGCTGCAGAGCAGGGATTGACTTGCTGCAGGGGGTCTGTGTGCCAGTCGAGTGCCCTCAGTAGGAATTGTTCCCAAAGGGCTGCTAATAAAGTGAGGAGGATATGGACTGTCCCACTGGGATGGGTTTATCTGCTTGGGAGACACTGGAGTCCTCACAGCTGCATTGCAGGGCACTGTCCCCTGCATCTACCTGTGGCTTCGCTAACCTGTGGTCTCTGAGTAAGCCAGACAGACCTTCAGAATCACCCCACACCCAATTCTGAACTTGTATGGCTTAATCTGCCTGCCTGTTAACACCCCCATCACTGTGTACCTTCACATACTGTTGCTTCTGTGTCATGTTCTGAAATTGGAGGACTGCTTTTTTAGCTGTTACTTCATATGAGTCATCCCAACTGCCCCTGTTAAAGCTCTCCAAACTTACGGATGTCACCGTAACCATTTCATAGAAAGCAATTTGCAAAATATCCTCTCCTGTACTGCTGTTGGTATCCCTGGCTCTGGGGAGCCCCATGAGCCTCATCAGTGCTGGTACTCTTAAAGGAGAATTAAATGCCACTGGTCCAACCACATTGCAGCAAATCATCCTGCAGTAGAGTTAGGACCAGCACAGACCTGGTAGCTTAGTTCTGGCAGGTGCTTTGCTATTCTCCCTTCCAGAAAGAAGATGCAGCCGACTTGGGGGTTGTGGAGAGCAGACACCACCACAGCTAACAGAATTAAAACAAACTTTAAAGAATAAGGGTCAAGGAGACAACTCTTACCTCCGTCACCCACTGGCATCTGTCAAGTGCTGCTCCAACGGTGTAATTGCCTGCAGGATCAGAAGACAGTCAGGCATCATGAGAAGAGATGATAGCAGCCTGCTGCAATCACAGATCAATAGTGTCAAGGGCAGGATGGAGCTCGTTTTAAAAATAAATGCTTTGTGCAAGCTTGTCCTGCACTTAGGTCCAATTTTCTGGTAATTGAGGGCTGAGCTCCCCTCAAGGACTCTCTGTCCATCTTAATGACCAAGAGAAGAAAGACTCTGCAGAGGTGGGATGAGGAAGGTCAGATGGAGATGTTAATCTCCTGACTCAAGACCAGAGTTTCATCATCCTTGCTGAGCTCTTCTGGAGACTAGGCTAACCCCAGGACCTCTCCACATTTCCCTTTGTCTTTTCTGGCTTTGGAAATGCAGCACTGGGGAGGGACAGCACCTTAGCAAGTGGCAGAGCCTCAGCCCATAGCTTTCCTTCATGTCAGTGCAGCCGCTCCAGTCCTTTTTCTTCCAAATGGATGTGTCTTGGTATCACCTGCAAATACCTTTCCTGTGCCCTTCACGTGCTCAGACACAGCTGAGAAGCTGGTATTGTCTAGATGCAGTTTTGCATGATCTGAGTTTTCCACTCACTACAGTTATTTACTGTGGGGCAGTTTGGAGAAAGCAGATATCCTTGAGATGCCCCTCCAAATGGTCTTCTTGAGCATCTTTCAATGTAATAGATCAAAACTACCCTTTCTTATTTGTGTTCACCATCTAACCTGGTAGCACTAAAGAGAATTACATTTGCATGTATTTAAATATAACATTGATTTCATAGACTGATTTAGACATAATTTGTTTTCCTTTCGAGGCATTTTCTATTAAAAACCCTTACTAGAATAACCCAGATCCAGCCCTTCCACAGCATGGCATTCCTGAACCCTTACCTGAGATGTTATTTCTAATCTTGCCTGCAGGATGGTACCAAAGTAGTAGGAAAATGTGGCGGTTACTGTGGGAAGTGCACTCCATCATCTGGAACAGGCCTTGATGTTCAGGTGTTATAGCCATGGTAAGTTCCCTGCTGCTTCTGCATGAAGGGAAATCCTTCCCAAAACATCCTAAAGGAGCAGAGACAGCTTCAGAAGATGATGGTCTGACTTCAGTGTGCACCTTGTCTGTATTTCCTAGGTTGTCTGCAAGCGGAGATGAGACGAATGAAGGATAGCGATGCAATACCTCTGCCTTCCACTTTTTTATGTTTATGTATGTATATAGATCGCATATTCTTAATGTACAGGTTAATATTTATGTTTGGAATTATTTATTTTGATTTAATATTTTTGTACGTAAAATCATTATATTAAGGCTGCTTTTCCTATTTTTATTTTTTATTGTTAAATCCTGCAGTCAAACCACTGCATTTTGCGTACTCTACATTATATGTAGCATTATGACAAGTGATACTTTATTGTCACTGTATTCAGTTGTTTACTTTCAATCAGTAATTTTCCTTCAGTTACGGGCTGCTTTTGCCCTCTACGGTGCTACACAATCTGCATAGGGGTATTTTTGGCATTTCAATCTGTCTTTATGTTAAGGAAAATAGACAAGATGTGCTTAAATTTTATTTTTAGGGATTAGGCTGACAGCACTCGAGGAAAACATGACAATGAATACAGTGCTAGTTGCATTAGCAATCTTTATCTTTTAGGTATGTTTTGAATTTCACATGACCTCTGTGGCCAGTGCTAAAAGCACTGGTTTGGTGCTAACATGGTATTTATTAATGCTCTGTAGTTTTAGTTAATCCACTGCCTTTATCAGTGAAAAAGGGAAGAAAGCAGAAAAATTGTCAGGTTCAAATAAATTGATCTTCAGGTCCTTTCCAACCCTAACTATTCTATGATTCTAAATTAAGATCTACCCAGGTTTAGGAAAATTCCTGCAGATGGATCTTCAGCTCAAGCCCTTTTTCATAGGGCCCTGAAGAGAACTTGCTTTTTAAAAACCATGTATTTTTCTCCTAATTGCATGTGCCACTGTGCTTCCTGCTCCATCTGGAAGCGGGGTATTAACTCATCCCAACAGGCTGATCAGCCCATATGTTTCCCTGGGCTGTGTGCTGAGAAGTGATGCGGGTTCTTATGGACATTGTCACAAAATCCTAATGGGAAGTTGAAAGCACCCCTGCAGTGTTATCTCCCCTGGGGCCAGTGTGGACCGCAGGGGATGTGGGACAGCAAGCCCAGCCAAGCCAGCCCTTCCTCTTGGCCAGGGGACTCCATTGCAGGCACCTGCAGCGTTTCCCCAGCTTCCTACTCACTCACAGACCATCTGCAAAGGGAAGCTTCAGCCTTATTTCAACAAGATCACTCTGTACTTACAGATAACTCTGCCCCCCCCTTCAAAAACAAGCTGCTTTACGCCTACTTCTGTATTGCTTTGGATCTTCCTGGTAAGGCATCTGTGCTCCTTGCCTGTTTGCCACCCTATGTACAACCAGGCCTTTAGTATTGGCTTTGTTATATATATATATGTATATATATATGTATATATATATATATATATAAATTGAGGAGCCATCTCCCATAGGCATCGAATGCGGCTGTGCAATAGTTCCTGCCTGTACACAGCCCACCGCTGACAGCACGCCGCCTTTGTGCAGAGCTTCATAGCACATTGAACGGGGGTGATGTGACCAGATTATTTTTGTAGTCTATGACTATGTCCCTTATCTCTTTCTCCACAATTTTACTTAGTGATAGGAAGATGCTGCCCCTTCGCATTCTCTGTCGGGGCAGCCAGGAACACAAAGTACAAGGAAAGGAAGCTTTTCAGCACAGAATTGCCAGCAGTTTGGGAAAATGAAGATGCTTATCTGCTACTTCAGATAATTCTTTTGATTTTGGATGCAAACAGTTAACAAACACAACCTCAGGATCTTGTGTGAGTCTTTTGCAGAGCTCCCCAAAGGATGTGTAATCAGTTTGTTACAAAAGAGTTGGATAAATAGGGATAAACGATCTGATCCCTGAATTCATACCTCATGTGCACTGGGCTGTGTTCAGCCTTCAGAGTGAAACCTGTCAGCCAGCCTGACAGTCAGGGATTGACACACCCACGTCAGTTGGGAGACATCTCACAGGCAAGGACGGCTGTGTTACAGTCCAGCAGCTACAGATCTGATGAAAGAAAAGGGGAAAAGGGAATGGGAAAGGGGAAAAGGGAATGGGAAAGAGGCAAAAAGGGAAGGGGAAAGAAGTAGTAATGGAAAAGTGATTTGTTTTTAAATGATAATTGCTTATGTATAACTTCTGTAGGGGAAAAAGGAAAATTGCACTATGAACTTTAGAAAGAAACAGTGGTGCTTAGAAAGTACAGGTTTATATTTTCTCTAATGAAGTGAACAGCTAATTATAAAAAGAGATATTATTTTGACCTGTACACATTCGTTTCTACCATATAGTTTCATAGCAGCTATTAACAGAGCAAGTGAAACCTAAAAGAACTTTAAATAAACTACAAGGGGGAAAAAAATGATAGAGCACTGATCCTATGGTTCATTAAAGGGCTTTGTTAAATAGGAACAGACTTTGAGGACATTAGGTATTTCTTGTTCAAGAAACAACTCTGGGGGTTTTATATCAATGTCATTATTTTTCTACAAACTGAGGTATTTTTTGCAAGCACTTTCCTGTACAGTGTTTCTTTTCTTTCTGCTTATACTCAAAAGGAAATGAAAAGACCCATAAGACATGTCTGTATGGTCTTTCTGCATTTGCCATCGTATTTCAATACATGTGTGCTATTATAGAGGCAAAATACTTTGTACACAAGGGAATAATACATTGAATGGTAAACATTCCTTTCTGTGCTGGTGTTTATTTCTAAGCTTTGGGTTCCTTGTTTCATTGTCCCACACAAAAGGAATAAGGGAGGATAATAATGTTGTTTATATGGAGACATACCCCAAACCCACATTGGGGTCTGTGGACCAGGGACCATCTTGGAGAATGGCCCCAGCCATCCACTTGTGTCCTGCCAGCTGGACAGACTGATGCTTCACAATTTCTTCTACAAGAGGAGTGATCTGAGGTACAAAATGCACACAAGCATATCTCAGAGGTGCCCCATGCAGCTGGTGACTGGCTGGTGCTGCCATCCATGCACCAGGGACATCCCTTTCCATGCGACAATAAGGGAGCCAAATGTTTTTGAAGGATGAGCTGGGATGCTGGACCTGGCCCACACTGCTGGCAGTGCTATGTAAAGAAATATGCAAAACCAATAAACTTTTCTAAGTTTGGAAAAGAAAAAAAAAGTATCAAATCTACAAGAAAATTTGGGTAGAAGAAATTTGGGTTGAGAGAAAGCAAATGTGGGGACCAAATGTGGAGGGCAACCAAGTGACAAACTACAGCAGAATCTTATATTGGTTCTTTAAGGACTTGGGGGTGCTGGTTGATGAGAAAATGAACATGAGCCGGCTTCAGTGTGTGCTCACAGCCCAGAAAGCCAACCGTATCCTGGGCTGCATCAAAAGGAGCGTGACCAGCAGGTCGAAGGAGGTGATCCTGCCCCTCTACTCTGCTCTCGTGAGACCTCACTTGGAGTATTGTGTGCAGTTCTGGTGTCCTCAACATAAAAAGGACATGGAACTGTTGGAACAAGTCCAGAGGAGGGCCATGAGGATGACCAGGGGACTGGAGCACCTCCTGTATGAAGATAGGCTGAGAAAGTTGGGGCTGTTCAGCCTGGAGAAGAGAAGGCTGCGTGGAGACCTCATAGCAGCCTTCCAGTATCTGAAGGGGGCCTATAGGGATTCTGGGGATGGACTCTTCATTAGGGACTGTAGTGATAGGATAAGGGGTAATGGGTTAAAACTTAAACAGGAGAAGTTTAGAAATTCTTTCCTGTTAGGGTTGTGAGGCACTGGAATGGGTTGCCCAGGGAGGTTGTGAATGCTCCATCCCTGGCAGTGTTCAAGGCCAGGTTGGATGAAGCCTTGGGTGGCACGGTTTAGTGTGAGGTGTCCCTGCCCATGGCAGGGGGGGTGGAACTAGATGATCTTAAGGTCTTTTCCAACCCTAAATATCCTACGATTGTTCCCTAGAGGCTGCAGGTGAGAGTGAAGAAGCTGCATTTTTATGTCCTCCCTTGTATGCTCCTCATGCTCTGCCTCAGAAAAGGCAGCAGATCTCTTATTGCTGGCAGCTCCGGCCTTTTTCAGCTTCTATGTTTTCAATCCAAAAGAAGAGAGGATACCTTTCTCGTGCTGTCTGAAACAGTCAGATGGAGAAAACAGAACAGGTGATATTTGAAAAGCTTGATTTCTTAGTTTAAACATCTTAAAGGCATCTTTCTTTTCTATCATTTATCCTTAACAAATGATTACAAAGATTTAAAATGTGGGCTGCTGAGTAATTAAGCCACCAGGGAGTGTGAATCATACTTAACCTTCTGGCACAGTATAATGAAAGGGTCATTTTAATACTTTTGATGCTTTGATCCAGTTATTCCATGAAAATTACAATGCTCTTCTTCAGCCTCATTGCCCAACCTAGCAGGACTAATTGGTCCAGAGACTGAGGTGATTGATTCATCTCTTCAATGTTCTCTTCTGCCTCAACAATGGACATTACTTCCTCTATGGAAAAATAAAATGCATTTTGTTGAAGACCGTTGGAAACACAAGGAACTAGTCTTATATCAGCACAGTTGGTAGAAAACCTTCTTCACCTTCACAGCCATGCTTTGAAACATGGGAAGAGGCAGAAAAGACCAAAGAGGGCAGTCTGGGCTTGAAAGACAGTTTTTCATTGAGGCACTTCTAGATCTGGACTAGTGAGTCTTTCCAACACAACTCCTCTTCCCAAACAGATGATTGAGGGCTAACTTGGAGAAAGCATTTCTGCTGGGGGAACAACACTGAGGTGAGGCAGAAATTCCACCCAAGCCAGGAGTCATTACCAGTTGAAGCAACTCAGCCCATGTGGTAAGTTCTCCCATCACATCACTTGAGCTTTTCAAATGAAGAACTCTTCAAATCAAGTCTTTTTAAGAAATACCCTTGAGTTCATCCAGCAGCTGCTAACCTTAGCTGATGGTCATTTAGTGGGAGGGGATGAGTCCCCTTTCAGGAACAAATTCCTGGCAGCAGCTCTCCAGCTTGCATCATGCAGGAGGAAGGAGCCAACAGCCAAAACTGGTGTTTGTCAGTCTCACTCCAGTATTTTCCAAGTATTTTTGCCTGTGCTGGAGTAATCCAGGCAATCAGTGTTGTAGCTTTCCAGAAGGAGGCTTAGTTGACAAGTTTCTGACCTCGCTTTGCAATAGTGAGATGAAGAATGTTGAGAAGTTATTTTTGGCCTTCAAGGAAAAGCCTGAGTTTCCACTTCAAAGTTGGTTTAATTTCTCAGCTATTTTATATTACTAAACATAAGACACAGATTTTGAAAAAG